AAATAACGACGACAAAAAATGTAACAAAAATTCTACAGTAAAATAAATTGATGATTTTGAACGTCCACTTTGCGCTCAAACTCAGTAACTATACATCGTGGAAACGTTTTATACGTCTCAAGTGAATTCTAAATTATTTCTCAACAGTACTGCAATCTTAGTTCAAACACCGTACATTGTCGATCACTCCCTTTAACGGTTTATTTTCATTTGCGCATTTCTTGCTTTAAGGAAGCAACGGAGAACTGAGAATCAAACAAAAAAACTTTTCTAGTCAGGAAAACAACAAGATCTTTAACATTTTTAATCAGATTAAAGTATCAAGGGTACCGTTGTGAATCGGACATTGTCATATTTGAATGGAGGGTCACTTAAAAAACGCGTACAGTCCCTTTAAGCATTCAATAATATCCGTTAATTGACTATTCTAACCTAGAGTAGGTTCCCAATATCTAAAAGTAATCTCTTCCTGATTTAGTTTACCTCGGAATAAGTCTTTATGCCGCCAGAAAATGCGAAGGGTCGGAGAAGATGAAAAACCTTTAGTCTGTGCTCTACTGGCAACAGAAAATAATTCGGAGGAACTTAAAAAATTCATTCTGCAGGTAAAAGAGTTGAAAAATAAAACTAAGTTTTTGAGTCACCAACCAAAATGGCTGAACTATCAATGGATTTTGTTAATTAACAATGAAATAAGATAATTATAAAAGACAAAACTTCTATTACTTTAATTTAAAGGATACTGAGATACAACAACAGATAAAATCAAATTATCATTTTTTTATGTAAGAAACTTATTACTTTCTTCAAACTTAATTATATTGATCGCCTTATTTTTGCAACACTGGTGTAAACCTTAGGAGTTTTGAATTTTGACTATCACTATATAAACTTTGTTCGTGTGTCTGGGTGTTTGTTGGTTTTGCTATTTTTATCCAATTAACGTTAAAACGGCTGAACCAACAATTAGTGTGGTTACTTCACATGACCCCAGGGAAGGTTTAACAAATAGAAGATGCTCCCAGATAGAGCCAAAATTAAAAGACTAATAAAATATAAAAGGCTAGTTTGATGTAAAAGAAATCATAGTTTCAAACATCAAAGTTTTCGGCATCAGATTGCAAAGATATTAAGAAGTTTGGTTCGAGTAATAAGTTCCTCGAGGCTCGTAGACCGAATTTAATGTATTTGAGCGAGGTCTCTGAACACTGATCAAACTACTTGAATCAAGGATTCACGAGGATTTTTATTTGTGATTCAGGATTTGAACCGGTGGTATGCAGTTCAGAGACCTCTCCAATTCATTAAATTCGTTTCTGTATAATTCCTTCTTGAATTTGCAAGTAACTTTTTAGAGATAAATCGAAATATGAAATTGAAAATCATTTTTACTCTAACAAAGATAAGAGTACCGTCGTGAATTGAGCATGCACCTTGTTCGATGGGCACTTGAAACAGTTTCAGTTCCTTAAATGATATTTTTTTACGGTTGATTATTATATCAATTGGTTGATTAATTGATTTTTCATTATCATAACTTGATCTCTGGAAAAAATGCATTCTTTTGAAATTTTAAATAAAAATGACTGTTCAGGATTCATGAGAAGTATGAAACTGTACAAGAAGAAATCCAGAAACTACTGATAGAGAAGAGAAATCACGCGGGGGAACACGCAAAAGAAACTCATCAAAAGATAGAGGAATAGAGGAATGAATAGAGAAATAGAAGAATAGATAGAGGAATAGAGAAATGGATAGAGAAATAGAGGAATGGATAGAGAAATAGAAGAATAGATAGAGAAATAGAAGAATAGAGAAATAAAAGACTAGAGGAATAGAGGAATGGATAAAGAAGTAGAGGAATGGATAGAGAAATAGAGAAGTGAAGAAATGGATAGAGAAATATAGAAATGGGTAGAGAAATATAGGAATAGAGGAAGGGTGGAAATTGATAGAGAAATAGAGAAATTGATGGAGATGTAAGAAAAGACAACGTCAGACGATTTATTTTTAATGCAAACATAATTGTGTCATTAACGATGTACAACTAATATTTAAAGTAATAATGTCATATTTTTCAGGGGTTTAGATTTTTCAAAATAATATATACCCCTGTAATAGAAACTTCTTGTTACTTCTTGTTTTGATTTGAAAGGCCACCATAAAAATATTCAATAATTTTTTTACTGTAATGTTTCTTCTATGTATGAGACATGAGTCTTTGGTTTATAATTATTAGTGAATATAATTCAATGAGAGGGCTTTATAAGAACGAGTTTTTAAGTCTTTCAACAGAATTGTTAGGGCATTGCTATTGTTAATATAGATCAATATTAATTTTGACCGTCACAAAAGAGTACATTTAAGTACAGCACAGTATAAAATTGTATATCATTCCAACTGAAAGAAATGTTAGACTAAAGTGTCTTAATTCAGTTTCAATTAATTTTGAGCCCATTTTTCTTGTCAAGATAGCATTGATATTTTACATGTTCAGAATTGAAATGTAGAAAATAAAACTTAGTATTTATTCACATCTTGTCTCAATATACAGTCGTTGTTGTACATATCAACACAATGAAGACGACTTTCAATATTTTGATTTCTAACAAGCTTTAGAACATCAATAATACACATAATCATGTAAATGAAATAAAGCTATCAAATAACAGTTTTTTGTTTATTTTTAAACTCCTAATTCTAAAAAAAGCTTGTTAATAATCAAAACATGAACAAAAAAGGTGTCTTGTCAGTAATGTATTGATATAAACGCCGACCACTGTATATTATAAACATATGTTTGATATTGATCTAGAGCATTACATATTGAACAATCTAGTCTTGTTTAACATTTATCTTATCGTGTATCATCATTTGATGAAAAACAACGTTCAAGGTCTCTAAAGAAAATAAGAATTCAAAAGTTTCAGACGGCTATATATATGCCTTCAAAATACAAACAGAGATAATCGACTTGATTAGATCTTTATTTGGTTTGCTGTTTTTTTTTCTCGAGTTTCAATTTGTTTACATGTCTGTTTTTACACAAACTGAAAAATGAACGGAACTTTTTCCTTATGAAATCAAGAGTTCCTTATTTTCTCAGCTTAATTAAGGTTCCGGCCTTAATTATCAAATTTTGTGTTCATTTCCGGGAAAGTTTAAACATGAAATATCCGGAATGGATTGATCTGAAAAAGATATAGAACCCCGATAGTTTTGTTAATGGTTTTTGTTTATCTTAACGTTTTTTTGTTTTTGTTTTAATATAATCTATCCATCCTATCCTATTTATGCTATTTAATGAATTAATTTTCATAAATATTTGAAAACTGAAAGATTTTGAATCTTTTTTCTTGTTAGGTATGTATCTGTTTGCCATTAATCGATCTTGATAGAAAATAAAAGATATCAAACATTATTTGTAGAAATTTACTTGAGAATGTCTATTTACTTGCTACTTGATAATAAAGTACCTTGTGAAATATTCTACAGTTGTTCCATTTTTTGGGCGGTTAAATGTAACTAACATTTTTTTTTAAGTACAGAGTTACCCACAAAGGGCGAGACGAATTTACGAATAAACTATCCGTTTTCTTTACAATCATGATTCCTGTTTTGCCAAATCATTAAAAAAGCTAATTTATACTCACAATGGTTAGGGCAGACTTAAATTAACCTTGAAATTATCACATTTTAAGAGTTTCAAGTTGTCTCATTGTTTGTGGGTAAACCTTTAAGTCAAATAAAATTTGGAGTAAGTCTCAAATTGTTTTATTTTAGCGTCAAAATAGATTGTACACGAATTATACAAGTTTTAGAACAAATGCGCAAAATGTTGGAATTATCACAGATTTCTCCTTCCTGAGCCGGCAAATGACGAACTGGTTTGGTTGACCGGCCTAGCCCTGTCCAGCTTGAAAGTGAATTTACAGGTTCCACATAGATATCTATAAAGAACGAAAGTGAATATTTTGTTAAAAGAGAAAACGTTTACATGGAGCTAATGTTTTTAGGGTTTTATCATTTAAATGAGAGGAAATAAATTGATTCAAAACTTGAATGTATTTATCCTTTAAGCATTAAGTCCCCATGTTTCAAGGGGTTCATGTTTTTTAGAACAAACCTCCCCCCCCCTGATATTTGAAAATCTGGGGGAAACTGGAAATGAAAATCAGGTTTTTCATACTTTTTACCCAAAGTATTTATTTTTTCTCAAAAAAATTTATTTACCCCAATGAAGCGAACTAAAGTTTAAAAATAAATCCGCGTAAAGATACTCAGAATCTGGGGAGAAAATTAATAATTTAAAAGAGGCCGGGGGCGATTTTTCAGGAAAATTTTCACCCTTGCTTATTTTCTTGTTTTATCTTAGTTTACCTCCAATCTGCCTTGTCCCCTTTCCCTACTTGTCCGCAGAAACAAAATCTTTCATTGTCGTCTTTACAGGATCGACTTGGCTTCCCTTCACGAACCTTAAGAATTGTGATAAATTATTATTAAAGGGAATGTGACTCCATTTATACAGTGGTGTGTCCGATTTACAACGGTACACTAAATCTAAACCTTCTAATTAACAATTATCTCAATCTTACCAAGTGTTCATTCATTGTCTATGCAGCATACACCCGGATATTACTAGAGAATTTACAATTGAAAGAATGAAATCTTCAGTAAATTTCTTGAGCAGACCAAGATTTAAAACATTTTAAAAATAAAAATTCTTAAATTTAATGGGATTGTGATTTCCAAAATGTGGCCTGTCTCCTGTATAAAAGATTTCATATTTATTTTGTCTGTTTCCTTGAATTTATTCTTCCCTACAATTGTAAACCGATTTTTGCTTTGACAAACCATGCATTATAAGAAACTCTTCGATGCGGAAAACTTAAATAAATCTTAGGATTGTCATATTTTACGAGACCTAGGTCGTATTGACAGAGCCTCACCCTTTGGGTAACCCTTTTTACTACGCAGGAGTGTATATTAGTTCTGAGAAAATTTAGCCGAGAACATTTTTGGATTTTAGACAATGGAGTGTTGTTTTAAAAAGGTCAATAACCAGATCATATTTATTCTCAAAAAATTCCAGCGGATAAAAAAAAACTTCCTTTTTTTCGTTCTTTTTACCTTTGTTTTCTTCTTCCCCCTTTTTTCCCTTTCCTCTCCTCTGTCCCCCCTTATTCCTTTTTTCCTTGATTTTTTCCCCCCAACCCCTTAAATAGCTCATATTCAAAATAAAAATTACACCCATGTGTTAATGGTTTCTAAATTATAAACCATCTGGAAAAGTTTTACCGTCTCTCCATCAAATGTTGCCTCGACATTACAGTCCTGCTCAGATATTGCTGGGAACCACCGTAGCCCGTCAGAATCTGCATCCTGCAAGTTAAAATTCGTTCACGGTCCCTGTAAACCAAATTTTTGAGCTGCTGGTTATTCTTATTCAATACTGCGATATAATTCTACCAATTAAAAGGTCAAGATATCTGGAAATTTTCTGCGGACCAACATGACTTGTAGATATTAACTTGTCCTATATATGTTAAACTATTTCTCTATTCAAAAGTTTTACATTCACTGCAGCGAAATTTTGAAGCCCTTGAAACTCTCNAAAATTGGAAATAAACAGCTTTCAAAATTATGAACATTTATAACTAATTCATACTTGATCTACAACGCTTTTCAAAGCTAAGTCGGGGTGGACAAATCCCTAACGCATCTGAATCAAAACCCAAATTACCTGTAAACTTAGCCTACAATTGGCAAGCAGCGCAAAGAGCATGAAAACTAGTTTTGCCATTTTCTCTGAATATGTCAACAAGTAGTAAAATAAAAGATTTAAAAATGAAAAAATTTGACATTAAGAAACAATGACCGGAAAAAGTTTTCAGTCATTTGTAGCTTTTACTTATTTATACAACTACTTTACATGGAAGTTGAGGGAATTTCACTTTACCAAGGGTTCCCAAGACCAATTGTGTCTACAAAACATCCAGAGTCCAGCGAGGGATGTTTTGTAAGCTAAATAGTTCGAAGGAACCCGTGGTTAACTAAAATTTCTAATTTCCCGAAAAAGTAGTTCTACACAATTTTATCGTCTTTAGAGATAAAAATGGGCTATTTCTTTTTTTGAAAACTTCACAGATCGGGTGGTTATTTTACATAACTGCCCCAAGGGACGTTAATTAACTTAACTATTCCTCTGTTGTCGTTAATGTTGGTCAAAAGGCGGTAAAATAAGTAATTGTGTTTCAAAGTATATTTCCTAAAATCGCATATCACATTCTCTAAAATACAGTGATAACCAGAAAACTCTGGAGTAGGAAGACGACAATAAAGCAATAGTTAAGTGTGTTTGATTTAATTGATACTAAGGAAATAGTTATGCTAGAGTAAGTTATCAAATATATTTTAAGGTAAAACGGGTCTGTTTATAGTGCTCGGTTGTATTTTGAACTCTCAGATTTTAATATTTTAAAGAATTTCTGATCGACACTAAAATATCATTCTTTAATGATGAACCAAATACTAGAACATCTATCTTTAACTGTGCAGTTTAAGAAATATTATGTGTTATAAAATTTAGGATGGTTAGTTGTCTTGTAAATTGCGTATTTGGAATCATGGGGCCCTGTTAGAAAGGGGGGAAGGGGGTGGATACATAAATTTACAGGAAAAAGTTTGTTTATTATTATTCATCATCTATTCCAGAGGTGGCTTATTGGGGGGGGGGGAGGTTACGCCCCCTGCACCCGGGAAAATTTCGGGGACGTCCCCCTCCCTGTAAAATTGGGGGGACGTACCCCATTGTGTGCGAGTGTTGCACGACTTTTACCAATGGTGACACTCGTACCAAATCTTGGCACTCATACCAAAAGTTGACACTCATACCAAAGTTTTTACTTATACCAAATGTTTACACTCGTACTAAAAAAGCAGCTTACTCCGTCTCCTCCCCCTCTTTCCACCCTACCAACTGTTAGTATCTACGCAGGCATTCCACCGAAATTATTTACTGTAGATCTACATACAAAATTCAAACCCCTTCTCTTTCTTGGAATTATTTGCGGTATTATTCCAAAGAACGCAGTCATATGCAGTACACATGTTGTCAAAGTGCGCACTGCATATTTTATCCAGCTGTACGTCGTCATATATCAAGATTAATTATTCCAAAAAATAGAAACTAATGAATAAACCTAAATTTCTTCATGTTTTATTGCACATTTAAAGTTATTCTATGTTATGTAAAAAAAAACAATAATATCTTAAGAACAAAAAATATTTCCCTTATGATTCACAGCTTCCCTAATTGTTTACATGCAAGCTGGAAAGTAAGCAAAGCTTCACTAAAATGTCGTCTATATTATATTGGTAAATAGGCTTACCACTGTATAATTTAAGTACATCCAAATACAACCAGATACAGGGTGTCCCACGAAACATGACAATAGCAAGACGAATTGAAAGTCGTCTTTGGTATTTGAATTTATTTTTGACATTTAGTCTTTTATCTACTTTAACATGGATGATTCTTGAAACAATTATCACATAATTCTCCTAGCCCTGGCATTTCCAAAAAGTGGTCTGCGTTTTTTGTGCTTTCAATATTACCGGAGATATAAAGAGTTTGGTTCAGATTTCAATTTTGTTAAATAAAAGCAAAATTGTCGAAATCTGAACGTAATTCTTCATATCTCGGGCAATATTGAAAGCACAAAAAAGGCAGACCACATTTTGGAAATGGCAGGACCAGGGGAATTTTGTGATTATTATCTCTAGAAATTTACTTCTAAAATTAGGTTGACAAATAAACGCAGCAAATTATATCAAAAATCAAGACGACATTCAAGTCGTCCTGCATACTGTCATGTTTCGTGGGACACCCTGTATATCCAGATTACAGAAAACTGTGTATAATATGCTACGGCGAGAACCAGAAAACTCTAGAATAGGAATTGAAAACGTTAATAATAACTTTAAATAGTCCAATCAAACACAGTAAACAGACCCATTTCACTTATTCAATGATTTAATAAGTTAGTTATTAGTAAAACTTCTTGCTTTGCAACAACGTTAAATACATTTAATTATTACTTTAATGTCGTCTTCTATTCCACAGTTTTCAAGTTTCACACTGTACCTATAGCTAGCCTTGCCGAACAATTTAGAGCTAGAGGTATAGATAAAATTGTAATCTCTGTATGTTTTTTTGTATGTCCGATCATAACTCATGAACCCCTGGACAGAATTGCTTCAAATTTTAATTGAGGAACTTGGTATAACCACGGGAGGGTTCTAAGCCGGATTTTTAAGAGTGGGGTGACTTTTCAAGAGAAAGATTCGTTTTCAGTCAAAGCTGGGTTCCCTTAATCATTCTGAGAGGCACGGAGACTGATAGAAAATGCACGGGCAACATTATAGAATTTCTGTCATTAGTAAGTTAAATAGGTTTAGGCTAGCTGCCGAATTTTACTTATCACGATAAAGTATGATCTAACACTGATGAATATATATTCATTATTTTGGATCAATTAAACCCACTCAACCATACAAAGTCTTTGTTCTGAACTTGGTGATAAACATTTAACAAATACAATTTGCTGGTTATTTACTGTTGAGTATTCCTATATATAAATATTTATTATAGAAATAAGGTAAGCGGAAAGTGACATCCCCCCACCCACCCCTCCCCACTCTGTATCCATTTCTGGAATTAAAATTAGGTGGCACGCATTGTGCTCAGCATGCTGGATGCATGCTTGCTGTAGAACTTGAAGATTCAAATAATTTATATCACACCTAATATTGAAGTGAGAAGGGGGGTATAAAAAGAGATTGAAGGGAGGAGGGGAAGGGGGAGGCATATAAAGCTAGGGGAGGTGGGTAGAAAAATAGGTTGAAGGAAGGGGGGACAAGACGGATTGATTGTACGGAAGTAAAACAGGAAGAATGAATGTAAGCAATGGGTAGAGAAGTAGAATGGTGTCTGTAAGATTAATACAAGTGTATCTGTGTAAAGTGTAATAGATAAGAAACAGGGAATTCCGGAGTAAAAAGGAACTTAGTATTAGAGGCGTATTTAGGGGGGCTATTAGGGCTAAGCCCCCCCCTGGACCAGTGAAATCTATTGATTTCAGGGGGTTTTCATGCCCAACGGGTGCTGAGCCCCCCCCCTGGAAAATTTACTGAATACGCCCCTGTTAGTATTTATATTATGATCCTTCCTCTATAAAATTTTATAAAATTGAACACGCCAATTTTTTCTGTAAAAGTCAGACTCTGAAAACATGACAATTCATTTTTAACTTCGTTTTTCAACCTTGATTTTTTAAATAACTTAGTTATAAAACATGCCTTGTTACTAGGGTTGGGTTACTTGGTTAATTTTTTAAAAATCGTTCACTATTATTGGACTTTTAAGAGGTCCCACAAAAATCTGTAAAAAGCAAACTTTTACAGAATACAGTTTTGAAATGTTGGAAGTTCACAGTATTTGTCCGCCTTTAAAAAGTCCAAAACCTCCAAAACAAACCGAGCTATTAGTCGCATCACTAGTTGTTAAACGTGATCTATATGCAAATAAAATTTTACCGAAATATATGGTTGAGAATTATGGATATTGAGTTCAATGCTTAATATCCTTTTTTCATTAATCTTAAGATTCTTACATTAATATCCAGGAATGTATCTTAAATGCAATCATTTAGAGTGGCGTCCATGCAGAATTCCGAATAACCAATCAGAAGCGGGGAATTTGAAATTTTGCGCGCTATTAAATGAGAACTCGATTGATCGGAATCCAGATAAAGCGATCGGTATAAAGGTTATTATTCAATTCCAAAGTTTTCAGCTCTGATTTCTTTAAGTTTGGCAATTTGTGAATTTATAGATTAAAGTTCTTTACTTAATACTTAACTGCGTTTGAAAACTTGAAGCTGTAAGAATTCAATTTTAAGAAAGTTTACATTTACTCCTTTGATACTGAAACTTCAACTTTGATTAAAAAGAAACCCTAGAAAATGCAGAAAAGAGCTTAAATTAAAATGAACAAATGGTGGTATGAAACTGACTTAAAGGAAACCGAACTAATTATTATTTAGTAGTATAGCGCTGGGCAGTTCCAACTTTTTCTAATCGTTTTGTTAACGGTCAGTTCCAACCGTAAAAAATAATTTCACGTTAATTTCACTGGTAAAGATTAAAGAAAAACTAACATACTAGCAAGCATACATAACCACACTGTGCGACAATCTACAATACAATATTGTGAACAGTACGAACATATGTGCAGTGCACAGTAAAACCAAGTGACAAACAGAAAGGTTTAATTTTAATTTATCCAAAAAAGCGACACTTTCTGAATTTACTTCTAAATCTGAACCAGGATAGCACGAAACAAACAAAAGGGTTTAAATGGATAAACAATGCCAGACTTATCAAGATCCACGTTTAATATAAAACTGGATTTTACTTTTTGACAATAATTTTCAAAAAAAAAACATATTTTCATAGAATGAATCTGTTTCCCTTATTTCCATAGACAAGGTATATAAGGATGTAGAACCAAATGAAATGTTACAATTCAACTCTGTGACAGTGCAGTGATACAGTGTAAGTTTTATTTATATTTAGAGCTTTAACAAATCATCTTATTTTAAACAGACTCGAATAAATTTACGAGATATTAACACAATTACGAAATAATTGAAATAATAAGATTAAGTTGTAAAATTCAAAACATCCAAAATTAGTGGGAAATTTTCCTGGATAGCCAAAATAATGTCGATAAAAGTAACCTCTTTCGCCAAATCGATGTCTGCATT